GGCCTTGCAAAACCTCCTTATGGTGCTGGGCTCTGTTATGCCAAGAGCCGGGGCTGCCTTGCCCTCCCTCCTTTTTCAGCCCCGTGCTTGGGGGGGGGGGGCAGAGCACAGCTGATGCCAAACTCACTTTCAGCCCCAAGGTCAAAGGTGTTTGTGTTGCCTGGTGGGAGGTGATGGCCCCAGCAGCACCCAACTGGTGTTCCCTTCACTGGGAAATGAACTGCTGGTGCTGAAGGGCAGGTTCAGGAGGTCCTAATGTGGTCTGTAATCGGAAGTAAATTTGAGTTTTCATCTGATGTCCATCAACAACAGCTGTTTTCAGCTTCTCAGGTACAAAGGACCAAATGTAACACTTAATGTTTCCTAACGCATTGTACAAAAGGGTATTTTGTTACCTCAGTCTCTTTGGTTTGTGAGTAGAGAACATTATGTACATAAAACTCTGTTAATAAATGCAATTTTGAGAAGGTCATTCTTAGTGTCTTCAGTAACATCAGTTCTGCAGGTGTTCTTTTTTTTTTTTTTTGTAAGACAGCTTCAACTTTTATTTATGAAGAAGTTTGTGTCAGTTACTAACAGTTTTCTTCCATGGTTCTTTCAAACATTCACCAACCAGCTAAACTGCATTTATTCCATGTCAAACACTTGCAACCTGGGATCTCTCAGCTGCTGTAGCACAGATTCTGCTTACAGAAACTGCTGTTTCCTCCTAAGTGATTGAGAAGAGTTAAACTAAGGTAAAGGAATTTTTAGCCATTTGTCCCAGTTACCTTATCTTGATTAACACAAACTATAACACTCCCCCTCCCCCAGTAACTACCATTTATTTTGTTTATTTTTGTTCTTGCAAAGTAGTTTCTCATGTTTTCAGGTTAAACCAGAGGGGAAAAAAAAATCTCAACTGATTAGCCAAACACATATGGTGTCTATTTTCAGGAATGTACTATGAGACTGGTCAATACATTGTAGACTAACAATCTAGCATTTTATTGCTCAATTTCTTAAAACCAAGATTGCTGGTAGACTCTGCTGTTGCATGTCACCATCATGTTAAAAATACAAACAATTCTTATTATAAAAGTACTTACTTGTCCTACAATTATCATCTCTGGCAACTTAACTTGTAAGAAACCTAACCATAGAAAAACTTCACACAACTAACATGCCACAATTGTTGACTACTTCTGCTGTTTGCATGTCAGTGGTATTTAGAGGAATAAATCGAGGAGGTACATCATGTCCATTATTTAATAACAATGTGTGAGTGCGGTCCCCGTGAAGGTAAGAGTAGGCACTTGGATTTATTTTTTTTTGTAAGCTTATCCTAGATGCAATATAAAAATAGATTATATTAATAGGAAAAAATTTAGTGTTTAACAAACTGTTTTTTGTAAATAGGCTAGCACAAAAGAGAAATCTTGTTACACTTGGACTAGACTAAAAATAACTTCATCTGAAAATAAAGTAAATAGTGCATTTTTAACCTTCATTCAGATGCACATAATCATGCAAACTATGGAAACTGACTATGGTAGGAAATTTGAGGCCTGGTAGCTGTGAAAGGAGCTGACAGCTTGCACTAATTTCAGTGGAAATGCAGGCTGGTGGCCATGTAAATCTGAAGAAGTGACATGAACCCTTTGTGGCCGACAGCTGCAAGGGGCTAATGCAGAAACCTTCCCCAGGGTTGTCAGCTTCCCAGACACATGCACAAATGCAAACAGCCCCAAAGGCCCAGTCTGTTGCTGTCTCGCTGTAAATCCAGAGGAAACCCCCCTGCAAGGACACAGTCCTCTCTGACAGGACAGGAGGTGGCCTCACATGTGCGCCCATGACTGAAAACCAGAGATTCTTGCAAAATGTCTCTGCTTTTCCTGCTCTCACACAGACTGCAGGAATGATGAGGGCTTTTATGCTTCTGACTCCTCCCCTTCTTCATGTATGGCTCCGTCCTCTTCTGACTGGTCATTCAGAAGCATGAACTTGCCATCATTTGTTAATGGCACAGACTTCATCAGCTGAGCTAATGCTTCTGGGTCCTGAAGGAAAACAAGAGAGAGTTCAGCAGCCTATAGCAATCTATGTGCAGCACAGAGTTTTCCCAGTACTTCTTGTTAAGGTTTTGCAACTTTTTTTTAACGACAACCTTTAGTCTAAAGGTTTGAAAAATAAATAGTGCCTTTTGGTTCAGTAAAACCATCCCTTGGGTATATAAGGAATTTTA